GACCAGACCATTTGACCAATTTGACCGGACCAGTTTGACCAATGAATTTTTGGTTGACCAGTAATTTGGCTAACCCTAATAATAACAGATAAATATATAGCATATACTGTATATTTTTAAGCATAATAATAATAATACAGTATAATAATAAATAGCATATTTACACCATTTTTATACTGTATATACAGTATTTTGGGTTAAAAAAGTGAAAAAAAAATAATTTATTTTTCAAACTCTAAAAAACAAAATTTAATAGTAAAGCTAATATTGTTTTTATATATAACAAAAAACAACTTGCAATTCTAAATAGTTAAAAAGTTATAAATTGCTATAATACTGTATATCTAAATTATATACATTGTAATACTTCTGTTTATCTACGTATAAAAGATTATAAGTAATTAACTATTAAACAATCTAGAATACAATTTATCATGTCTTCCTTGCAAGATATCTAACAATGGTGACGTTTGTACAGCCGCTTTACTGTTTAATTTACAAGTTTTTTCCAATGATTTTTCAACATATACTTGGCATTCTGTTAACAGCCTTTGAGAGTAATATGGGCCAATAATATTTAATCGAACTGCAGCTGATAAAATGGCACGAGCAAATAGAAACAAGTAAAGATGTTGCGTCCGCTCTGTTAAATAGAAGTAATGTGTGAAAAGCAATTAAAAAAGAAGTATTTAGGAAAACAATTAAATACCCAAACTAATTCCAAGACACTTTGTAACTAGTCCAAAACAAATTGGTAGGTGTCCACATGAAATTTCTTTTCTAACTCTAAGCTTAAATTTTTCTATCACAAGATCTTTCATTTTGGTTTTACTGTCATTATCGGCAAAAGATTTAGTAAACAATGTTAACATAGCAACACCTTGAGCTTTTGAAGCTCGTTTTGTAACATAATTTGATGTATAAGCATCATATAAATCATCTAAATTTATGATTTTTTCCATAATTTTATCTATAACATTCATAGAATCATTTTCTTTATAATTCAAAATTTCATCATCCGAGCTTTCTATTTCGACGGCCCACCAAGTGTCGGTAACAAACGGTAACGAACTATATGCATAATTTTCAATACTACTACTTAAAAACAATAATAAAGACTCAATATTTGTAACATGCCCCGCTTGTGTTGCAGACTCCAATCCAGCAGAAGCTACAAAACCTCCAGTCGGCAACGCAGAATCAGCGAATTGCCATAATAACCAATCCTCACGATTTGTATCTTGAGTTTGAGAGTTCATTTTATTTTAAAGATTCGAAAAAGGTCACCTTATAAAGATTGTCACACGGCTAATGCTGATCTACACTCTTTTACATCTGAATGGGCAA